TTGCCCCTAATATTTTAGCTATATTAATTTCAATTATCTTTAACTTCTTTGCTGATGGACTTGGTTTGGATTTATCTCCAGTTAGCTAAATGTTTGACTTACCATGATGAACACTAATTCGTAAATTGGCCACTGGATGGTTGAGGACTGTAAACGAATTGTGATTAACTTCGTTAACTAAGTCCTTGGCGTAACGTCTCGCGACCCCTTCGAGGGGTTAGAAAAAAGTTTGCTAGACACCAATATGTCTGATTAGATCTATTGATCAGCATAGTGTCATCGGTCGATAGCAGCAACTGAGACATGCGAAATTAATAATCATGCCTCCGAAAGAGTTGTAAGGCAGAGAACAACGTTCTGCTATATTTTGCTACTCCAAGATGCATAGTCATTGTATGTTTGATATAAAGAAAAGCTGGGTTTCGAAGATTCCCTTCAGAAATTGATAGGGGTTGTAAATTGGGTTTATGTCAATGACTTGATATATCATCAATTACTCACGTGCTTAAATTGAAATTATCAGTTAATGGCCCTTAGCGTTCTGCTTTTTAGCTTTCTGAGATAATTTATTTGTCAAAATGACCTGTGTTCAATGGCATTGTTTTAAAAATCTATTTTTTATTGGACTTTGCAATTAATGCGTAAACACCTTATTCAGGGTCTGCTTAGCTATTTAGATCATTTGAAAAAATTCAAAGTTAAACTTCTTGCTTTGAACCTTCTTAGCTTGGCTTATGGTTTTCCTTCCTCGTTCCTGTAGGCTGTACGTAGAGGATGTGCGGAATGTGCCCGTTTTCTTCTAGCCTATGGAGCTAATCCGCAGCCATTGGCCGTCCCTCCGGGGACTTCTTTTCGCTACTCTTCACATCCTGCCCCAAATAACCCTTCTGCTGTTGTCGTTCCACCTTTGCACCTCGCTAGACAGATGCACCAGACTGCCATTGAGGCCGACATCCGAGCCAGTTGTGCCCAGCAAGTTGTCTCACTATTCCAGTCAATTAAAATAATCGTTTTTAATTAAGCTGCCGTCTACGATTCTTATTTCGTTTTGAGCAGGTTTTCCAGAGCAATATTATTGATTGCTATAACAAATTTAAGTTTGCTTCATTGACAATCTCCACAGAATGTGATATGGGGAAATGCCTGGCCTTCCTTGAAATTTAGATCTGCCCTGTGACCAAAGAGAACTCGGGGCAATGTGGCTTAGTGATTAATGTGTCAAGATTATACGCAGCACTGCCATAGTTTTAGTCCCGCTGGGAGTGTTGAGGTCGAAACTGCAGTCCACCCTGGATTAGAATACCTTTTGGTAAAAGCCAATCTATGTGAAATTCAATGGAAACATCATGTTTACTCATATAATTATGGGAAAATTCAACTACCAGACCATCATCTTAAACGAAATATTTCCTACAAATACAGCTCATACGATTATTAATACTATCTTAAGTTTTAGAAGTCTAATTTAGCTTAAATAATTTTGTCAAAGCTCTTTTCTGGGACACTAGTCAGCCTTTGAATTATTTTTATCAGTTAAGCTGGTTCATAATGGTTCTATAAACTAGGCTAAGAATTTACTAATGCCGTGAATTTCCCAGTTGTCATAGACTTAGACATTTTGAATACTATGCTTGATCTAAACAGACTTGACATCAAATAAACAGTGAAATGGATACCTGAGTTTGAGAAGCGACAGAGACAATTATTACTGTTACTAAAAATGGTGGATGGACCTGATCGTAAAATGGAGACTAAATGAGATGATTACCTCATCCACAAATCTGTGTCAATAGTCCTAGCATTCCATCAAGAGAAAATTCATTTTTTTGACCAACTCACTTGTATGTTCACGTGCAATACTATTAAATTTTAACAAATACTTCGGAGGTGACATATATGTACCTTGAGGTTGTTGGTCACACTAGAAAGTTAAGGATAAATTTCGGTGAAGAGGGTGATTAAAAATCGCGTGATATCCTGAGCTTTGGATAGTGTGACCTTACTCAGGGCTTGCTTGCTAAAAAGGATGTCTGCCACTAAGGCCAAGTTTACGATCACGCCTCATGAAGTTCACTGGGAAAAGTCAATGGTCCCAGGGGAACTGCGAATATGAATGACGTCCTAACTAATATCTAGTTAATAAGCTTTGATATATTTCACAAATAGCTAGATGAAGCGGTATCGAAATGAGAATTTTTTACTTTTATTTACTCTATGGGCACATAAATCATTATGTTTATTTCAAATTGTGAAAAATCGAATGCTCAGCTTTGATCTCATATCAAACTACATATATTCTGAGCTCCTTCTCTTATCATCATTCTCATACTAATCATCGCATAGTTTCGTAGCTTTAGCATATCAATTAACGACCCCCATATTTCGTCTCAATGGTTCACGCAATGCCAAATGCACTCAGCTCGCTTGATTTCTTTTCTTTTATGCTATC